TATAAACAGTGGGTTCTGGGATCAGAAGAGGGGTTCTGTGCGCAAGAGGGGCATGGAGAGAAGGGAGACTCTTCAGACGAGTTGGCTTTGGAGCCAATCATAGATGCAGGAGGCTTCATCCTGGGGAAGGTGGGGAGAAGAGGCCTTGCATGCTGGAGAAGGAAAAGGCAAAGAGGTGTTGGGGCCCAGGGTGCAGAGGGGCCCCGAGATTCTTTTTTTTTCTTAATTTTTTTTAAGATTTATTTATTTATTTATACATGCACTGGGTACAGTCAGAAGCGCGGGAGGGTGAGAGAATTCACCAGAGCCAGAGCAGGGAGCAGAGCAGGCAAAAGGACCGAAGGACACTGCTGAGGGGAGCAGCGGGCGGCAGGAGAGGTCTGCGCGCCATGTGGGACCCTCCTCCGGTGGCCGGGGAGCAGCCGGGGATCGAACCGGTGCTGCAGAGGCTGTGGGCAGCTTTGCAACCCAGTGCTCAACCGCTGCGCCACCGGGGAGGCCCAGGCCCCGAGATTCTTGACTTCTACACAGGAAAGACTTCATGTGGGAGTCAGTGTAGCGAGTTAGAAATGAGTTAGAAATGACGCTTTGTAGGTGATGGTGCACCTTTGAGGTTGGGGAGGCGGGCTCAGAGGAGGACCCCACCTGGGGTCTTGAGGTGCTGATACTTGCTTAGTTTGAGGGGCCAGGGGCTCGCAGATGGATACTGAATCAGTCTTGAGCACTTTTGTTTACCAAAAGGAGCAGAAATTTACAGAGGAGAGAATGGGTTGGGTCAGTTTGTTTAACAAAGAGGCAGGAATTTGCCAATTGGGATAATGAGTTTTGACTAACTTTGTTTATCAGAAGCACCTGACCCCCAACCTCCTGCGAGCTGAGACGGCTGATGGCACCTGGGTGAGGTAAACTGATGGGGTCTGAGTGGCTTTGTTCTGAAACGTGCACGGCTGCTTTTCAGAAATGCTGGATGGGGAGGAAGCGCTGCAGCCCCTGTGCTACCTCAGAGGGGTCACTGTAAACTACATGGCATTTGGGAGAATAAGAGGAAATAAGTAAAAGGATGAAAGGAATAAAAGGAAACCAAATTAAGAGTGGTCCCTCCCTCCCTCCCCCTTCCTGTTCTTCCCTCTCATCCTCACAGTTCTTCCCTCCCTCTTCACATGTCCTGTGGAAATTGTGTGCCAGGCTCCGGGCACATGGGCTAAGCCAAACATGTAACTTTCCTATAACAGGGCAGCCCTAGTTTGGGGGATCCTGAGGTGCCCCTTGCCCTGCCCCGTAGCTCTCCTTGATGGAGCTGAGAGTCCAGCCCAGTGGGGGAGCCCCCCGTCACTAAGCATGTAGACGTGGGCGCCCCACAGACGAGTAGGCAGTGGCTCACAGCTAGTGGTCCAGCAGGCAGCCCAGAGAGGACAGATTTGAAGCCTTCATCCCCCAAAATACTGTGGGCGTGTCTACATCATCATTCCCAGAGCCCAGGAGAATCACTATGCAGCGCAGGTCAGAGACTCAGGGTGGGAGCCTGGGCGCCAGCCTGCCCGAGCTCTCAGATATCAGCTTCAGTCAGAGGTTGTGACTTTGGATAAATTGTTTGGTTTTCTTTGCTTCAGGCCACTTATCGGTAAATTGGGGACTATCATAGTACCTCCGTCAAAGTTGTGGAGATTCAATACGTCAGTATGTGTAACCGCTTAGAATAGTGCCTGGCACCATTAGTCCTCACACAGTAGCTTATGTGAACGGAGGCTGTGGTTGTTCTTTGCTCTTCTGGTGTGCTGAATGTGAGGAACTTGCCGAGGAGGAGCTAACCCTTCCCACTTTTGTTAGAAAAAGTAGCCCCAAAACTTTCTATAGAGGTGAGTGTCTTTCCAGGAAGGTAAGAGTCCCACACATTCAAGTATCATGGACATTACTTAGAGCCAGTCTGGTTATTGTTGTAATACTCCCCCTTTCAAACTTGGGGGGAAAATGTACATGAAAAAAATATCTCAATACCAAGTTTTACAGGAGAAAAGTATATTTGACAGTTGACAAGTTTTATTCAAGGTTCAGAATATTTTAGAAACTGAAATCCAGGCCCTGGAGACCACTGGGGTGGAAAAGAAGTGCCTGAGAATCTTCTGTGTTATCGTCCGAGCTAATGGTCCATTAAGACAGCTCAGGCTGAGCCTTAGATAATGAGCCCCTTCCAGGCAGGATGAGGGGGGGCGGGCTCCCTGCGGGTGGAAAGTGGCATTTTTCCTAGAGAAGAAAGCGCGCAGGACCATGCTTGCACATAATGGTAAAATTAAGGAAGAACAGTATGGAGCAGGCAAAGAAATTACCAAGATGATATTAGTGTTCATAATCAGTTTAATCATTTGGGTTTCAATAATGGTCTGTCCTCATTAGCTATTCAGAGAGATGGTGTTCATTTTAAGGTTCATCAGTATAGGAAGAACATCTATGCCCTTTCTGACATGCTTGCGTATTTATATTATTAACCGAGTGATAAAAGCCCAGCAATTTCCGGGAACCCACGATAGATGTCCACAGTTTATCCATCTTTGAAAGTAAGCTCAAAACCTCAAATGGCTCCTATCCACAACAAAAAGTAGTTGCTGTGATAAAAGTAAATAACAAAGCTCCCCAGTGCATAGCCATCAAAGAGTTGTTCTTTTTCTTCCCCTTGTTTGTCCTGACATAGTTATAAACACATTGATCCCAAACTGCCAGGTATTTGAGGGTTCAACTATTTCGAGTGCTGAGTCATCAACGCAAACCTGAAGCATCAATATTTCTTCTTCCGCACAAGTGTGAAAGTTCCCTTGTCGCCTTCCCTGCCAAGGAGCAAGCTAAGCCTCATGTGTCGTGAGACACCCCCCAGCCCCATCCTGGCATCTTGCTCCCTCTGAGACGTGAACCACCCCCATTTCCCTGTCCCAGGAGACACCTCAGCCACCCCCATCTGTCCACCCAAGTCCAGCCGTGCAGTGAGGCCTGTGCCCACGGTCGCCATATTGCCACTGAATTGTCAGGCAGCAGCCTTGGGGCAATTACTTAGTAAACCTCAGAGCAGCTAAATATGACTTGTCTAATATCGAGGGTCCAGATTTCTCTCTACTGAAATCAGATAATGAATAGGAAACATAAAAGATTACCAGTGAAAGGAAAATAGGTATCGATAAAGACCATTCTCGGTGACTCTGCACTCACCTTTGACTGCCCACCCCTCTCTGATCCAGGCTGGTGCATTCTGCAATACATGACTCAGCCGCTGAATGTGAGACACACAGAGGTTGGCCATGCTGCCTCGTGGGTTTAAAAGTCTGTTTTGTTTTCATCTTTGTGATGTGGTTGATAAATTGTCAGCAGGTAACATGGTACCTATGGGCATGATAGCATCTGCCTAGGATGGATGTTAGCTGGAAGCTTTCTATCTTGTATTTAATGCATATTTTAATGAACATCAAAATTAATCTTTAAAATGACTTAAATTTCAAATGCCTGGCAGTTTGAACTTCATGCATTTACTATAATTAGGTCAGAAAGTTAGCAAAAAGCACTTTCAGTACATGCTGGAGATATGCCATTGACTCACACATAATGTGGAATAATAGTGACTAGTTTAATTATTACTTGTCCAGAATTGTACAAGTAAGACATGTTTTTCAAGAAATGAATCTTTGTGTTAAAACAATTGGAAATACTGTTTTTGTAGAATTCCAGCAAACTTTGTCTTTGGTTCTGTTTTTTAAAAGAAAAATAAAGGTAATAATGTTAGAGAACCAAGTGTTTACTTAAAAGGCATTTTGATATTTAATCTTTAACAAGTACGGACTTAACCGTGTGCACAAATATGCAAGGTCACATGCTTATTAATATGTTGTGTGTGAATTACTGATGGTGAGAGAGACAGAGAGATAATGAGGGACAGAGGGAGGTGACAGGGAGGGGTAGACCTGCCATTGGGTTATCTTTATTGGACTTATGGTAAGTAAAGAGTTTAAGGACATGCCAGATTCATCCAGTGGATGCTGAGGGTCCGAGCTCATTTGCTTTGCAGGTTATTAAGTAGATCAGGCGTTCTCTGACAAGCTTGCATTGCAGCAACCTGGGCTCTTCCATCCAGAATGAGATTTTGCGGGCTGTTTCCAGTTTCATTGTTTACGGGCAAACCACATTAGAATTCTAGCTGTGTTACTGTCTCAATAATGCAAAAGGGAGAACACAACTAATTAATTCTCTCAAGTTGATAACACCCTTGAAAAATGTTTGCCCACTTGTGCTGTAAATCCTCTCAAATATATTGATACTTAGGACATTGTGTATTCTCCCCTTCAAAAAGTGTGGGCTCGTACAGTTTGTGAGTTTCAAAGATACTTGATTTGTGTACAAATTCTAAATCTTGACAAAAATAACTCCATGGATTACCTGTTAGGTAATGAAAAGTTAGTACTTTTTGAATATAAAAAATGCACCAATAACAAATATGCAATGAGTAGTTCCTTTATAATTATTCTTGTGTATTACCTTAAACGATTCTTTTGCTGATGTTCTTATATCACTTATTTATTTTTTATATTTTTTGCTAAAATCAGAAGATGATTCCCTTTTTATCATTAACCGAACGTGTTAAGAATGAAATAAATTTCCAAGTAGAGGAGTCCTCATCACGTATTGTCAGAATATATTTAATTTCATGCATGCGTGAAAGATAATGTGATTCCCAGGAACTAAATATTCCATAGCCATTCACATGCTGTACTGTTATCTGGAATAAAACTAGATTAAACCTGCAGAATGGTGAATTACCGAAAATAATGAAGTTAAGCAATTCATTAATCCTTATCTGCTTGTCTATTTTGTATAGTCTGGATGAAATGGAAAAATTAATTTGGGGGTGATCAGATTGAAAGGGTCTAATGAAGAGAAACATGGGGCTGAAAATGTTTTTTTTTTTTTTTCTTTTTTAATTATCCACAGCACCTTTTTCTTACATGCCTCTGTTTTTCTTTTAGTGGCAAAGCATATCTATAACACTGGTTGAGAAAGTTCAGATGATTGCTGTAATCCTAGGATCCCTGTTCTTAATAGCGAGTGTGACCTGGCTCCTCTGGTCAGCCTTCAGCCCCTATGCCGTGTGGCAGAGGAAGGACATCCTTTTTCAGATCTGCTATGGAATGTATGGTTTTATGGATCTAGTGTGCATAGGTAAGACCACGATGCTCCTCGCTAACCACTGTCAGTAATCCCTTTCTTGCAGCTGTTCTGCGTGCACTAGTCGGATCTAACATAGAATGTTGTGGTTCGCAAGATCTTGGTTTGCCAGTTACTTCACTCTTGGGGTGGGGAGGGGTGTCACACAAAGCCTGGCATCTGTATTCCCAGGTCACCTGAAAAAAGTAACAGGGTAATGTCCATTTTAAGTGACCCATTTTGCAATGAAATGGAAGGAATTAGTTGAAGAAATGGTTGGTGAGGGTGGTCAGGGCTGCCATTTATTTCTAGGGAATAAGAGCAAATCAGTGACTCATTACAAAGCTGGGAAAGCATTGGCTAGTGCTGGTGGAGAGCTTGTGGATGGAAGAAGGAAGAGACCCCAGAGGTCTTACATCATAAGTGGGACCCTTAAGTGGGTCCTTGGAATGTTAAGAGGCTTGGGGATAGTTTCGCTGGATGCCCCGTGCCCTTTGGTTCACTTAACAAATCGAGTAACTTGGAAGACAAATGCAATTCAAGTGCTTTAGCTTACACTGACACTACAAAAAAGGTGACTTGTACATTTCACTTGATCAACCTGTGGTTTCTTTAACACTTGGAGAAAATGGAAGTCGGTTCCTACATCACATGTGGTAGGTGTGACAAGTCGCAGACACCGTTCATGGTGACCCACTGACAGTGGGGTTGGGGTGGGGGTGGAGAGGGCAGTGACCCAGCCAGGAGACTTTCCCTGCTCTGATGGGTTTTCAGCCAAAGGAGGTAGCTCCAGCTCAAAGCTGTGTGGTCCATGGGGCACCTGCAGGGACATCCGCAGCATTGTTTTTAGAAATTGTCCAGCCCCACCCCCGACCTGCTGTTTTCTTAGCCCACTGAGGTTTGGATGTGCATAAAGAATGGGTGATAAACTTGGGATCAAATAACCTGGCTTCTAGTCCCAGCCTCTGCTTGGACAGATCACCTTCACCCCCATATCCTTGTTTCCTCACCTATAAAAAGGGGAGTAATAATCTCTGGCACACAGGATAAAATAAATGAAATAACGATCATGAAAGAATTATGTTGATTGGATGTTGTAGAATAAAGATATTTGAATAAGTCACAAACATTGACATTATTTAAATCACTTCAATTAATGTCTGTACTCGCAAGAATCTTAATTTGACTAGCAGTTTTAATATCCACAGTCACTTTTTTTCTAAAGAACTCCATAAATTTTTAAATTGTGATCAGCCTGATTTCTTCTCCTTTTCTTCTTCCCTCCCTTGTCACTAGTATATGACTCATTGTAAAGAAAATGATTAAATTTCAGGCAGGCCAGCAAGGAAAAGGGAAGGAAGAGAAATGTCCTGGATAATATGTAAGCTGAGCAGATGTTGCCTGAATAATTGGGCTAATCACGTATATAAACATTTTGCATTCAATGCGATAATGCATCTGTAAGGATAATGCATCTAAACCTATACATATATGATCTTGAGGGTATTGCTCTAAATGAGGAAGAATCATAAAATTATTCTACAAATCCCTCAACAAATTCAGAGGTTTATTGTCTTTCAAAACCAATATTTGAAAATGTGCTGTTTTATTGATAGCAAAAGGGGGGTGAGAAACAAAAGACCCAATGTGGAGGAGAGAAAGTGCATTTTCTTGACCTCACTAGAGCGCTAAGAAGGAAAGTAGATTCCCTACTTAGGAAATCATTTTCCTGAATTTCACAACTTGTACTTAGTACTGAGCTACTATATTTTAGATTTAGATGGTTAAAGCCAAATCTTTAATCAAAATTATTAGAACTCTGGCTTTAAAAGCACACACTTATGAATTAATGATCTTTCAACTCTAAATGGCAGATTAGTCATATACTAATCTCTTTTGGCCCAGAGGAAATCTTATTTTTCCCCCAGAAATTGGGAAATCACTGTAATCAAGAAAGTTCTCAATAGCCAACTGGTAATAGCTCCTGTTAACGTTTCAAATTAATTCAAATGTGGACAGTCACCAAGTGGATTGCATCGATTATGCCTGAAAGTCTTTGACTGCAAGACTTGGATTCACAATGAGAGAGAAAAGCAGATTTACAGCGTTGTGTCCAGTTGGCTCAAATTGAGTTCAGTACATATTTACAGAGAACTTTCTGGATCAGACACAGTACTCGATACTGGGAACACCAGTAAGAGTTTGTTACTTTCCTGCCCCTGGGATGCTCCTGGCTGGACCGGAAGAAGAGGTGTGTGGGTGGGTAGTTATGGAGATGTGCTGACTGGATGGTGGTTGGAGGGGGCAGGGCAGTGGTGGGATGTTGTACGCCAGGCAGGCTATGATTGTCATCATTGGAAGGTGATTGCTTCTTCATTCAGAGGGCTTTAAAGTCGTTGGAAACTTTCTCACATTCCTGTTCATCCAGGATTTTCAAACTTGTTTATACAACCAAACGCAAAGGAACAGGTCAGCAGCTTCGTTGACGTTCTTACCAACAACAACAAATTTTTTTTTTAATCCTTAAAAGATTATTTTATAACTCAAATCATTCAGCCAGTTTATATTGTGCTTCAGAAGAAGTTATTCTTGGAATTGTTAAACAGGAACTTAAAGATGAGTAGAAAATTATTTATTTGGGGAGATTTATTTACATATTTGCAGACACAGTGAGTTTGTCACCTCCATTCATTGCTGATGAATGCATTTCCTTCTTTTCCAAGATTCAACTTTTTCTTGCAATGAATGCTCTGAATCTCCCAGGGGTCTAGGCACTAGTATTGTGGAAATACCTTGACCAGGTTGTCAGGGGCGCTTTCCGCAGTGGTGAGAGGCTGTGAGTCTGTGCTGGCCAGTGTGGTGGGCCGCAAGTGGTGACATTTGCCTGCTAAGCACTTGAAATGTAGTTAGTGAGAATGAGGAACTGAAGTTTTAATTTAAATTTATTGAAATAAATTGAAATTTAACTTAAGTAGTCATGGTGGCTAGTGGATACCATATTGGACAGCATAGATTCCAGATGATGGAATGGTGATTAAGGGTTTGATTAGCAAGTTTCACTTCATCTGTAAAAGCAGGTTGTATTACCAAAGTGATAAGGGTACTTTTCCACAAGAGGTGAGTAAAGTGGAGGTGAGTTCAGAAGGATTCAGAGAAGGGTATTAAGGTAAGAGTGTGGTGTGGTTAAGAGGTCAATAGAGACACATTCAAGGAAGCCACATCTTAAGGATATCAGTGCAAAGAGAGATGACTTTGTATTATAATATATTTGGGGGAGCGCTCTTAAATATTGAACAAGGGGGCATTTAGGCTATGATTGTGCACCAGGAAAACTAACATAAAGGATTTAAATCACCAAGGTGTTGTAGACCAGGGACCGTAAGAATAGTAACCAAAGCAAACTCCTCCTGAAAAAGATTTGGCCTGTGGACAAAGGGAGACTGGTAAACCCAAGAATGACGAGTGTTAAACTCCATACTTTGCACATTGGAAACAAAGGTTATTACTTCCCTTGGTCCTGGGATTCGGTGGAATTTGTGCCACTGAAGAATATTCACTGAAGGTTGAGGGCCTGGGGAGGACCATGAAAATAGGGGCCATTGGATTAAGTTGCATCCGTAAGATAAGGGCAGGTCCCGAGTCATTTTAGTGTCTTGTAGAACCTGAGGAGGTGAGTTCAGTTTTTTCTAGAAGCAACCAACGTAAACTAAAACCCAGTTACATGGTGGGATTCGGGAAATGGAAAGTCCTAGACCTAATCTCATTAACACTATAAACAAGTGCCAAATCCTCATCTGGAAAAGATTTTGGTTTTTCCTGAGAGACTAAGAGAAGAGCCAGTTATGGTTACAAAAATTTTTAAACTTGGATTGACTTCTGTTATTTTTAAATTTTTTCTTAAATTCACATAATATAAATATATACGTATTGAAGCAAAGAGCATATTTTGTGTTTGTAAATGGTAACATATAGTTGTCAAAGGACCATTTCACTTGGGGTGCCCTTTCCGTTGGTCATTACCTGTGCTGAAGTGTCCCCTCTCAACATTTCGCTCTACATCCTCAAAATCTTTTTCATTCCGTCTACATCCATATAAGCAAGTATTTAATTTACAGTTACATAAAAGCAAGTATTTAATTTCTTATATAATTAATTTTGGAGGGAGCTTCCTTTATATATGTTATATAATTTCTCACATAACAAATATATAAATTTCTCATAGTACTTCTCAGTACTTTTCATATTGTTAAACAGATAGACCTTTTCATTCAACAGCATGATCTAGAGAGATTTTCCTCTTTGAACAAAAATATGATATTTTTTAACCTTTCTTCTGATGGATACCTACATTGCGACCACTTTTTGGCATTAGAAACAATGTCGAGAAAGATCCTTTTATGTGAGTACTGATGAAGGCAAGATTCCGAGAAGCGAGAAATCTGCGTGGAGTGGGGATCACACGTTGCATTTTGCTTTCTGAAAAGGCTTTGCCAGGTTATGCTCCTGCCAATATGGGGGAATCCTGGCTTCCCCACACCCTGACCAATGTGGAGATCTTTGACCTGGTAGTTTAAACTATATCTACACCACTAGCATGCTTTTCATAAAATCCACTGTGTAACTATTTAGGTTTATAGGGCTACTTTATCTCAGAAAATGCGAGTGACGGGGCTCAACCTGCCTGGCTTCTCTGGGGACTCCGGGGGTGGTTGTGTGGGGACACTGGCTGGATCTGCACTGTAAACTCTCCACTTTCTGTAAATGAGATCCAGCAGGGGTGACAGAGATTAAAGATCATTGCCTCTCAAAACCTCTGTGTGCTCGGCTCATTTGGAGCTCTGGGGCCAGATTCTTCTATTATACTGTTAACACTGAGAGGATTTCACCCCTCAACCACTTGCTTTTGTGTATAGAAGTGCTCCCTGAAATTGCTTTAAGAAAAATTGCCTCCCTCTGTCATCTGGCTCTGTGGCTAAAGTACCAATTCTGCTATTGCTTGTTCTCCATATTACTCT